GGTGGGAGGGGAGAGCTGGAGGTGCCCCAGTGCTTGGGGCAGTGGCGGCGGTGCAAGCAGACCACCAGCATCCTAAGCCCCACTCCTGGCGCAGTTCCAGTCGGAGTCATGCCCGGCCGTGGGGATGTCTCGCTCGGGGACCTCCCAGGAAGAGCTGCGTATCGTCGAAGGCCAGGGGCAGGTCAGCGACATGGGTCCCTCCGCTGATGAAGTCAACAACAATACCTGTGCAGGTGAGGGGGTGCTGACAAGTGGTTGGGGAGCAGACCCCTGTCCGGCACCCAGCCTCCTGCACCCGCCCAAGCATTGAAAGCCCACTGCCCCAGTGCAGGCTGCTGGCAGACACCAAGGGGGGTGACTTGCTGAGGACCCTCCTCCCCGCAGTGACCCCAGAGGACCTTCTCCTGGACAGCCCAGAGAAGCCTGCGACAGATGGGCCACTGGAGACGGCTCTGGACCACCTGAAGCTGGGCAGCATCTTCACTTTCCGTGTGACGGTCCTGCAAGCCTCCAGCATCTCCGCGGAATACGCAGACATCTTCTGCCAGTTCAAGTGAGCCCCCAGTGTCCCCTGGCCCCATGTCTCCCACTGTGCTCTGGCCATTGCCTTGGGGCTGGCAGTGAACGTCAGGAAGCCCCAGCCCCCCCCACCTCTGAGCCCTTCATGGATGGGGAGGCAAAACCAAGGGCTGCGGGATGAGCCCATGTGCTTGTTCGGTACCTTGTTCGGTCGCTGGTGAAAGGCAGGGAGAGGCTCCCATCAGCTTTGGGGGAGTCCTGTGCCAGCCTAGGGTGCAGGTGGCAGGCCCAGGGAGAGTGGGTTCTTCTCCTGGTCCCTGCCCTCTCTCCCATCCCTGCTCTGGCACATCCCCATCCCACAGCCCCCGAGCCACCTTCCTTCCCTTTGCAGCTTTATTCATCGCCATGACGAGGCCTTTTCGACAGAGCCCTTGAAGAACACGGGACGGGGGCCACCGCTGGGCTTCTATCATGTCCAAAATGTGCGTACCCCTCCCCTGCGGCTACCAGGGTCTCTGCAGGGCCATTGGCTAGATCTTCTCCCTGGGGGAGCAGCTTCCTCCTGGCTTTCCCAGCCTGTCACAGCCACCCAGCTAAGCCAACCATAGACAAGGTGGATGTGTTGGGGAAAAACCAAAAGCCCTTGCCCTCCACCCAAAAAGGCTGGGATTTCATGGTAGTGGTCTTGGTAGGGAGAGCATCCCCAGGCCATGGGGAAGGGGATGGGTGAGGGATGCAGGGGATTGGACAGGCTTGCACCCTCCCACCTCCCCGGTGCTGTTGCCAGCTGCATCCCTTTCCCAGCTAAACTGCGCCATCAGTGGGTCTTTCTCTTCTAGATCGCTGTGGAGGTGACCAAGTCCTTCATTGAATACATCAAGAGCCAGCCGATTGTATTTGAAGTCTTCGGGCACTATCAGCAGCACCCCTTCCCGCCCCTCTGCAAGGACGTCCTGAGGTGGGTGCACCCTGGGCGACCCCTGGCCCCTGGGTGCCACGGGGCACTTGGTGCAGCCGGCTTCCTGGGGACCCAGAGAAAAGGGGGGCAGGTGGTGGGAGGGGGTGGCCCCCAGGCATAGGTGGGGTTGGTTGGGTTCTGGGGTCCCTGTGGATGCTTTAACTGAGCCTGTTCTCTCTGCAGCCCGCTGAGGCCATCCCGGCGCCACTTCCCCCGTGTGATGCCACTCTCCAAACCAGGTAGGGGATCTGGCCTCCTGCTCCTCCGCCCACCCGCGGTCCCCGTGCTGGGTGCAGGGTCCCCTTCCCCAGGGGGACCAGTTAGGACCCCAGGGACACCACAAAATGTACTGCAGACCAGAGCACCCGAAAGCCCTTGGCACCCATTCCCACAGCACCTGGCTGATGCAAAACCCCCTTCTTCCTCCTGTGGAGTGGCAGGGAGCAGGCTACCCGCCCTGGACGGCTCAGATGGCCACCCAGCCCTGCCATCCCGCAGGGGCTGCAGGGTTCCTGCTGTGCTCTGGCCACTGAGATGCGAGTTGTTGGGGATTGGCTGAGCGCCATGGTTTGCTGTGAGGTCCCTGGGCCAGCAGCAGGGGAGCCTTCCTCCAGCTGTCCCTAAGTGGCAGTCCCAGAGCGGCTGTCCCCAAGTGGCTGACCCTGAGCAGTCCCTGGAGCATTTCTGTGTGGTTTGGGATGTGTCCATGCTGGGGCTGCGGGCTCAGAGTTTGCATCTCGGGGATGTGTGAGGCCGGCCGCATCCTGACACCCTCGCTGCTCCGTGTTGGGCATGGGAGAAGGCACACCACTGGTCAGCGAGGTCCCCAGGATGGGGCTGTCCCCCTCTATGCTCTCCCTCCTGCCTTGCTGCTGCCTCTGTGTGTCTCCCCGTGGTCCCTGCCTGCTCTGCCCTTATCCTGCCTGCTGTCACATGCCTCACTCCAAACAGCAGCAGCAAGCTCGCCCTTTAAGCTGTCTTTCTGACCCACCACAGTGCCTGCGACGAAGCTGAGCACCATGACTCGGCCCAGCGCCGGCCCGTGCCAGTGCAAGTACGACCTGATGGTCTTCTTTGAGATCTGTGAGCTGGAGGCTAACGGCGAGTAAGTCCTGCTGGGAAGGAGAGGGAGGCAGCGAGGTGATTTGCCTGATGCTCAGCACCTCTGGACAGGCTGACAGGGCTCTGTGTCATGGTGCAATCCTCTCTTGCAGCTACATCCCTGCCGTCGTGGACCACCGTGGAGGTGTGCCGTGCCATGGGACCTTCCTCCTCCACCAGGTACTCCCTCCCCGAGATGCTGTCCCAGCTCTGGCTCCTGCCAGGAGCTGTGTTAACCACTGTCCCTTCTCTCTGGCCTCGTGGGTCTCAGGGCATCCAGAGGAGAATCACCGTCACCTTGGTGCATGAAACAGGCAGCCTCATCCGCTGGAAGGAAGTGCGGGAGCTGGTTGTGGGTAAGCCGAGACAGATTGGGTGGGCTGTGAGCAACCCCCAGCCTGCCGAGCTCCTGAGCATCCTCTCAGACTGTTTCTTGCCCACATTCCCATGTGGGGCTTTATGCCTTGTCTACCCTCCCGCCCTGCAATAGCAAAGCAGCGGCTGCCTGGCAGGTGACACCAGGACGCCACGTGGGCAGGATGCCTCGGTCCCAGCCACCGTGTCCAGGAGCTGGACCAGGACCAGCTGAGTGGCTGAGCACCAGGCGGCTGCTGCCTGTGATAGGGGGGCTGCTGGGGGATGCAGCCAGGTGGGCTGCCTCTGCCCCTTGCCGGGACCCTCACAGGGCCACCACCTGTCACCTGAGTGGCGTCCCCGTGCTGCGCTTGCAGGTCGGATCCGTAACACCCCAGAAGCAGATGAGTCTCTCATTGACCCCAACATCCTGTCCCTGAATATCCTCTCCTCCGGGTACATCCACCCCTCCCAGGACGACCGGTGCGTGCAGCTTCTTCTCTTGCTCTTCCCCCGCTGTGGTGAGGGCTGGGGGGGGTAACATGGGGAGCCCCTCTCTCCCCTGGGGGGGCTCTCGGCCCCTCTGCAGGGTCCTGCCAACCCGCTGCTGCCTCGGGGTGGGGTTTTTCTGGAGCCACAGAGGGTCTCGGGGTTCAGGACCACCAGCCCCCTTCCTCCTCCTCCCCAAGGCCTCTCCGCGCTGGGCTTCGGCACTACAGGGAATTTGGGTGGGGTCCTGCTCTCCGGTGGTGGCTGTGACTGCCTGGTGCAGAGAGCCAGTTGGTGCCGGTGCTGGGAGGATGTACTGACCCCGCGGCTGGAGGGAACCTGCCATGAAGCGCTATTTGTCCCCTCTCCCA